ACTGTTGTACCCCCCCCCCCCCCCCCCTCCCCCAAACAAGTTGCTGCTCAAGTCATTGACAGCATTCGTCTTGAATCTCCCCATGAAATCACCGTAACTAACACTGCCAGACAACACAATGGAGGCTGTCCGTGGTTCCAAGGCATTCAACGGCATCGACGAATACGTCTGGAACCACACATTCGTAATCACGACGGAGCAGCTTGTCGTCGGAAAAGGTGTCTTGATCATGATATTTGATCCCCTGGCCATTCTAAAGTGGTCAGGCAAAGACACAAGAGAGAAAAACTCACCGGGCCAACCAGGCAAGCCCGTCTCTCCCGGCGACAACGTCGTGGTGTACGATGCGACCGTGCGGTTCCATTAGCCGTCGCCAGATGGCTTTGAATCCTACGTGTGAGTACTTTTCGCTTTATACAAGCTTTTTGAAGATTCCGAGAAGAAATTCGGAGGCGTTGGAGGATATACCCAAAGAAAGGTACGTTGCAATTATATAGTCATCCGTTTTTGTTGCTCGGGAGCCCTGCCTGGTTATGGATGTGGTGGAGAAATGTTCTGGGGAGGAAATATAAGTCACACGGTTCTTAAAAATATGACCCATGCTTTACTGTGACTGTCAATAAAATACCATCTTCGCTGAGACGGTGGGAAGTAGCGCAGTTGTACTTGGGCCAATCCAAGAGAACTTGACTTGCTGGCGGGCCCTCGTCAGTTTTGAGCAAGGTACATCCCGGTACAAAGGGGCTGTACAAACCTGCATGTTATTAAGCCCAAAGTATTGCTGTAGAACGGACTGTGGTCCCCGGCCTGCCATCCATAATGTCCCCAACTGTTAGACACTGGAACTCGTGACACTCTGACTCCTCCAACGATATTGCATGTACTTTGGCCACACGGTGCCAATTGCAGATAAACTCTCCCGGCTGGCATCTTGGAACTTGACCACAAGTTTTCGATTCGCTTTCCTCTAATGTGATGATGCTTTCAACAAGAAGAGGTGTGGTTGGAGGCTTTCCCGATTGTCCATTGGGCAGTTCCGAGCGGAGCAGGGCAGCCGCAGCATGACGAAGACTGTGCTTCCGACAATACCGAGCAATGAATTGAAGCGACGTGCGCAGGGAAGGTCTGAACCGAGCTGGCGAGGATTTGGTGAAGCTTGCTGGAGCGGTCAGAGTCTCCTCGATTATGCGCCAAGCCAAGGTGAACTCTTCTTCAAACGGGTCCCAGCATGTCTCTTCGGCTACATGCTCGAATGGCTGAAGATGCATCTCGAAACAAATCCGGGTGAGAATGTACCGCACACTCAGCGCAGCAGCACCCACGGGGTGAATATTGGGGGTGCAAAATAGGAAAGCCTGATACCGTCGTTCCCAAATCAGGAACAGCGGTTGTAGCTCGGCGCGTCGCGTATTCGTCGCCTCTACGTCTAACATGGTTGCGCTAGATCGGACAAAGAATCCATCCAAGACGGCATATAAACTAATCCACAGCATTTCGAGCTCTATGTACGCCTTTATGACCGAGCCAAGTGGCCGTTTTTGAAGGAAGACGACGGCGTCTTCCCAGCCCTCGCCGGGCGTCTGGCAAGTCAGCAGCAAGGATTCTTCACGGATCCTGACCGACTTGATGAACAGATGAAATAGATGCATTGCTTCAGCGGAAGAGTCGACAAGCTCCCAAAACCTCCAATGACGAATGAGCCGGACAGTTTTGCCGTGCATGGCCATGAAGGTCTCAATGTTGCCTGGATGGCCGGCAATGGCGCAGAAGAAAAAGTTGGCCACGACAATGACGGCCTTGTCAGCGACAGACAGGGTATTTTTCCTCGTCAGTCGCAAAACGTCGTTCATGGCTGCCGAGTGTTGCACGACGGCGAGCTTGTGCAGTTTGGCGCAGTCGGCGCCGGCTGCTGCCGGGTCGCCGTTGCCTGCCCACATCAGGGCAGAGAGCGCATTGGTCGCGTGCCATATCGCGGGCACGGTCTGCGTGAATCGGGGCATGTAGTAGCGCCAGTAGTCGCAGTCGAACTCGTCGGCCGCGGAGCGAACCAGGTGATGCAGGAAGTAGCTGTTGAGACGCAACCCCTCGGGGCAGCAACCCGCGGGCGCCGTACTGAGCTGTAGCGAGGGACCTATTGGATCGAGGTAGCCGGCGCATTTTCGCTGGGTTTTTTGACAGCGCATGCAAATGGGCCGGGCCTCGTCACATTTTACGTGGCGAGATCTGCGTGTTGTTAGCGGGGCAAAACGAAGATGAGGATGTTGGCAGTGGAAAGCCCGGGCGGGTATACCGGCATGTCCAGCATCCGGTTCTCACTCTCGGGGCCCATCGTTTCTTGCGCGGGGCCGGGCGCTGCTCCTTGGACGGTGTGATGTTGGGGGCCGCGGATGCGGATGATGTCGCCGACGAGTCCATGTTTTTGGACAAACGTGGACTTGCTGACGGTTCGGCAGAGTGAGCGCCACCCTACGGCGGTCTTGTTCGTTTGCGGGAATAGGCGGCAGTATTGGTTGAGCTGCAAGGTAGAAGTGGCACAAGATTGACGAGGCTGCGGATCAGGCTGAGGCTGAGACTTGACCAGGTTAGCTGGTATCCGCCGACGTATACAAATTACTGGAATTTAGCATAGACGTCTATAATAGTCTTGCAGGACTTGTCCCAGTATGCAGGAAAAAAACAACTTGAATGCATGTGCGGCGCCGCAATGGTGAGGCCTGACAGCGGACCCGGGGGTTGACAGCAACTGTATAAACCCAACTCACTCTCAGATGTGCACACCACTCGCTATGCTAACGCAGATGCCGAAAAGCGACGACGATGGTCGCATATCCATCCAAGACGGGACTCTTATACACTATTATCCCCGCTTTCCCCGATGGCTAGGACCCCGGAGGGCGTAGTCTACAAGCTATTCCCATTTTTTTTTGGCATGCAGTCATCCTGAGTCGAACTCGCTCCTTCTAGAAAATTTATACGCGTCTCGCTTCTTGCTCTTCGAAAATTCTCATGAGGCATCCACACACCAAAAACCGTCCAATGCAGCAGCGCAACCAACGACAAATACCGAAATAGATGAATCGCCGGCAAAACATCCTAGATGGTACCGCAAAGAGTGGCGGTGACGCCACTACCCAGAATTCCGAAAAAGGCAGTCCGGAAACAACACCACCGCCAAGTACCGCACCGGCCGGCGCGGCGCCACCCCCGGACGGCGGCCTGACGGCGTGGCTGCAGGTCCTCGCCGGGCACCTCATCGTGTTCAACACGTGGGGCTCCATCATCAGCTTCGGCATCTTCCAGCCGTACTACGAGCAGGTGCTGGCCCTGGACCCGTCAGCCGTGTCGTGGATCGGCAGCGTGCAGATCTGCCTGGTGCTGCTCGTCGGCGCCTTCTCCGGGCGCCTCTACGATGCCGGCTACTTCCGGCCGATGCTCGTTGCCGGCGGGCTGCTGCAGCTGGTCGGCATCTTCTCGGCGAGCGCGGCGACGGGGTACTGGCAGCTGCTGCTGTCGCAGGGCGTCTGCCAGGGCCTCGGCTGCGGCGTCATCTTTGCGCCAACCGTGGCCAACACGGCCGTGTACTTTGCGCGCAGGCGCTCGCTGGCCATCTCGGCGAGCGCGTGCGGCGGCGCCACCGGCGGCATCGTGTTCCCGCTCATTGCGCGCACGCTTCTGCACCGCGTGGGATTTGCATGGACGCTGCGCGTCATGGGCTTCGTCGTCCTCGCCGTGTACGCCATCGTGCTGCTCTGTGTGCGCACCCGGCTGGCACCCCGCAAGGCCGGCGCGTTTATCGACACGACGGCGTTTCAGGAAGCGACGTATGTTCTTTTCGCGATGAGCATGTTTATCACGCTGTGGGCAACGTATTTTGTCTACTTTTATGTAAGTGCCACTGCGCGTCTGGGATGTGTGCTGTGCTGATCGGAATTCAGGCGCGTGCCTACGCTGTCAATGTTCTCAAAGGGTCGCAAGATGACTCGTTCAACATGCTCATCGTCATCAACGCCGTCGGGATCCCGGGCCGACTCATTCCCGCCTATCTCGGCGACCGGTACTTTGGTGCCGTCAACGTGTTCCTGCCCACTGTCTTCTCCATGGCCGTGTGCGTTTTTGCATGGGTGGGCGTAAGAAGCATCAGAGACGAGTACATCTGGATCATATTTCTCGGCTATTTTGGCGCTGGCATTCAAGGACTCTTCCCTTCGACCCTGGCAGGCTTAACAAAAGATCTCAGCAAGAGCGGGACGAGAATAGGCATGATCTTCAGCGTCGTGAGTATTGCTGCGCTGACCGGCCCGCCGCTCGCTGGCAAGCTTATTGACGTGCGCGGTGGCATGTACCTTGGTGCACAGCTCTGGGGAGGCGCATGCCTCGTGGTTGGTGGCCTGATACTGGCTGCTGCGAAATTGTGTAATACAAAGGAGGCGACTTGATGATGGAAGTATGGGAGCGATAGACGATCAGGTAGATGATAAAGAAAACATTGTGTATACAAGTGCCACATTCTGGAGCGCAGCTTGCATTATTTGAGCAGACTCAACCGGGACTTTACGGAACAGCACGCAATGGTCGAGATACAAAATTACAGTCTCAGACTGAATAGCGATAAGCATGGCAATACTCTCCAGCCCCCTCATTCGACTCTTGGTATGCTCACGACCAGCACAATAGACTCCCTAACCGATCTTATCATTCGGGCCAACGGTCGCGGCTAGATATAACTCACCCTACTGCCGTTTTTAAAATACTGCCCCAGGATGGCAATGGAAATCTCCAAGAGCGCGCTCCGCAAGCCACCAAGCTTCCTTTACAAGATAAGAGCAGCTTAGCGTCGGTGATGGACTGTGTCAGCCACAAGTCCACTTACTCTGTAATCTCTTGTATTAGTATTTTATTTGTATTGAGACTGTTTATCTCTAGTAATTTACATTTCCAATGCGCTCTTCATCCTGGCCAGCGCCGCAAACAACTCGTTATCATGATACTTTCTTGCCACAATCTGAATATTCACCGGTGCGCCCTCGAAATCACCTTTGGCCCACAACTCGCGGACATGCTTATCCTGCTCACCGAGGGCATCCGCCGATGCGTACGCTTCGCTTCCTCTCTTGCCCGCTCTGATGGGCGTAGGAATCACCACGCCAGGGCAGTCGACGTAGTTCCAGAATGCCGTGTAGTTCCAGTAAAACGCCGACTCGTGCTCGCAGGCGGGGCCGACAAAGACGGGACAGACGACGACGTCGACGTCCTGCGCGGTCCAGTGCTTTGCAAAATCACCCCTGAATTTATCACGCACCAGTCTCTGCTCGAGGACGCCGGCCGAGGTCACGTCGGGCCCCTCGGCATCCTTGATGATCCACTGCGTCAAGGGAAGCATCGGCTCCCCCGTCGCTGCCAAGTGTGCCTTGACTGTTTTGCCGCCGTCTGGGTAGTATGCTTTGCGGATATTCTTCATGGCCTCGGCCACTTTATACGGTGTAAAGGTCGTGACGGAGAAGCCATCTGCGGCGGCCGCGCCCGTGAGTTTCGCCTTTGCCCATTCCAGAGCCTTGAGCACGGGCGGCTGCGGGACAATGACGCCGTCGCCCATCATGAACCCGATCTTCAACGGCTTCAGTGTAGCACCGCCGCCGCTGAGCCCTGTCCACGGAATCGGAACGAGCCGCGGGTCGGACAGGTACGGCTTCGCGGCCGCCATGACGGTCATGAAGAGATCCATAACAGTGGCTAAACCACACTAGTAGTTAGGGTAAAGGGTTAGAAAAAATAGGGGTTTTTTTAAACTAAAGTTATCCACTAGTAGATAAACTTAGGTATTAAAGCTAAAGTTATCTACTAGTAAATAAACTTAAAGTTATCTACTAGTAGATAAACCTAAGTTAAGCTAAAGTTATTTACTAGTAGATAATAGTAGCTAAACTATACTAGTAATTAGGGTAAAAGGTTAGAAAAAATAAGGTTTTTTTAAACTAAAGTTATTTACTAGTAAATAAACTTAAAGTTATTTATTAGTAAATAAGCCTAAGTTAAGTTAAAGTTATTTACTAGTAAATAAGCCTAAATTAAGCTAAAGTTATTTATTAGTAAATAAACTTAAGTATTAAAAATAAAGTTATTTATTAGTAAATAAACTTAAGTTAAGCTAAAGTTATTTACTAATAAATAAATTTAGGTATTAAAGCTAAGGTTATTTACTAATAAATAAACTTAAGTTAAATTAAAGTTATTTATTAGTAAATAAACTTAGGTATTAAAAGTAAAGTTATTTATTA